TTATCTTCCAGTTAAACTACTTACTTCTTTCTGTAAGTTTGTGGTATAGAAAGGGGAAACTACTTATTTCTTTTCCCTTTTCCACTTATTTTTCTCATAACATACGATGAGGATAATAAAAGAAGACTACTAAACACGGTGCATCTAAACCGATGGCACAAACCACAACTCAGATGAATAGGCGTTGCATGGGGAAATTAGGGAGGCAAGTCATTACAAACCTCTGCTTACGGGCATAACATTTTGGGATACAGACTTCAGTCACAAATTAGTCACCTTTAATAGTTCCTGGATTTTCTGGAATATGCAGAGGTACCTCAGTTTGGGAGCTTCCCAAGGATTTCTACTATATATGATACAGTGACTGTATTTTCATTATAAACTATTGTCCAGGCAGACTGATTTGGGATGTCACTTTCCTGATATCACAGTGTGGGAATATTCCAGTACAACTGATTTTGTCTGAGCAGTTATACTAAAGATGTGAAATTTCAAGCACTATATTCACCCTTGTCCCCTAAGAAATGCATGAGGAGAGGGTTATCAGCACCCAATTTCGCAAACCCCAAATTGTAGACTGGAAGCAGCAATGGGCTGGGCCCTTGGCTCTCCATCAGAGGCACAAAGGCAAATGTAAGGACTTCAGAAAAGATGACTTGTGTACCCACCCTCCAATATAAATACCTGGGCCAACTAAGGCAAACAAGAAAATTCTTGAGAGACAGTAGGAAAGCATAGGTTACTTAGGCAGGATACTATCTGGCATACATCTTATTTGCTATCATGATTTTTAAAAGAAATTCAATTAAATTACTGACATTATTAATTAAGAATTATTGGAAACTGACAGAATTTTCATAATAAACTAATAAAAAAATCAAGAACAAATTTTATTTCCTATCAAGCTGTGCTACTGTCTATCTGTGGAAACAGATAAAAAACTTGTCTATTTCCTATCAAACTTCATCTATCAAAAAGCAGATGCAACAATACTATTAATTACACACAGGAACCTAAAAAATCATAATCTGAATATAAACAGTACTAAAAAAATTGGGTACAAGCTATTAATTGATCAAAGAAAATCACACAAAACATTTAAAAGAAAGATAAATAGGAGTTGGAATATTATTGTTGCCCCCCTCACTGCTGTTTCCATTTCACTGACTTACACTAGGTGAGCAATTTACTCTGTATCAGTAGTATCTATATTAAAGAGTCAAATTAATGTCAGTAACAAAACTGACTGAAAAGATGCCTATATTTATTTTGCTACAAGTTTGGGGGGCAGTACATATTGCAATACTTAAGGCGGGTCTAGGCACTGCATTTATTTAGGATGATAAACAGTAAAAGCATTAATGGTATAGTTTCTGTGACATAGCAAATCCAGTTAGTAACTTCTAGAATAAGCATATAAAATAATTTTGGAATTATTTAATCTATTTAAGCAAACAGCTACAGCTCCTTCTCCTTTCAAATATTTTTCCAAGACGGTTCAGTGCAAAGCAACAATCTCATCTGAATTGACACGTAAGACTGCACACCCAATACCTTATTATAATCAGTCTGTATGTCAGCACTCAGCAGACCCAAATTAATTCAAAACCATACACAAGAGACCACAAGTAAACAAAGGAAGTTCTTCCTACCTTATTACCCATATAGTATAATCAAAGGTGACAACAACAGTACCATAACAAAAAAATCCCACTCTATATTTCTGTTGATTACATAAATACCTTATTGACCTAAACTGCTAAATTTTATATTCTAACCAGAGTAATAAAAAGCAGGATGAAAAGCAGCAGTCTTGGCATTCAAGCTGATGGACCACTTTTCTGAAAAGCAGGTGCATCACCTCATCTAAGAAAACATACTTATGATACGAACTCAGTTTCCACTCTTTTAATTTCTGTGTATGAGAGCATAAGAAACTATACAGTGATTCAAAAGCAGAATTGTAGGTTATTTCAATACTTGTTCTCACAGAAGATGTAGAAAAGGCACACAGGTATATACATATTACAGGAATAAAGAACTTTCACAAAGAATACCATTAAAACACAGTAAAAAAAAAATCATTAAAAAAGACTCATATTGTCCTTCTTTATAATTCAAAATTTTATTTACAAAACTATTAATTTTAAAAATATGGAAATTTTAAGTGGATTAAGATGATGAAAAAGCAAGGTGTTCCTTCATAGTCCTGTTAACAAACCTCTTCTAACATTAAAAAATAGGTAATTAAACCAATAATTGAGATCTTTGAACTTATTAAACAGCCTGTGATACATGCAGGAGAGAAGAAGGTGAGAAGGGTTAGGAAAAGTAGTCTGGAAACTGAGGGCACTTAGACTGGGATATCAAGCTATTTATACTTCCCACCTCCCAGGAACACATTAAGGCAAAAGGTAGCAGAGCTATTCAAGAGACAACTTCTGAGTCCCTCCCAGATGGCCACCAGAAAGAAAGAAAGAAACTCTCCAGCCATACTAAGCCTTTACAAACATAACAGTAAACTCTCACCAGGCATCCTCTGGACTTTTTTTTTGCAAATCAGCATAAAAATTATCTGCTTATAAAAATACATAGATTATAATTGCTGAATGCCAGCTAAGTATCAGAAAGAATGGTGTGGCCCTTTGTAGCTGTTGTAGATACCTTTTCACAGGTAAGAAGGGTATGAAATACAGTTCAACAACTGCATTTTGGAAAGGAAAAAAAAAGAATAGAAAAAAAAAAACAAAAAACAAAAGGAAAGAAGGAATATAAGTATACTTATTCAGTTTCACAAATTAATCTTAAACATAGCCCTGTTTTTCATGTTTAATGCTCTTTCTCCTTTATCTTCTTTTTTTTGCCCCTAAAAATCTTTTATTCCCTTATTTGCCTACTTCCTTGTTCATTAAAACTATTATTTTTCTCAATAGCTACATCCTACTAAATTACATATAAGAAAATAATTCACATACACCAAAACCATGATAATTCAACATTTAAGTTACATCTTATCAAGCAGCCATTTGCTTAAAAGCCTTTTGAATACGTTCTTGAGTTAGGATCATATCTTCTTGTATTATGCATTTGTAAAATCACACAGTGTAATGAAGTACAGATCTCTTTTTAGAATGTAATCAAATTATAGAAGAAATGCATTGATTTTTTTCAAGAACAACTTTTTTTCCTACTTGCATTTCAACAAACTCCAGAAATGTTCTGTACACTTTAAACTTTATGAATATTCTCACTTACTGGAAAGACCACACACTTGGGAAGAATTAGTCTTTATCTTGACTTATAAAACTTACATTATACTAGCTCTCAATTTTTAAACAGAGCTAGTTACTGCTTTATCATTTATTATAGTCTCAGCTCATTAATAAATTTAACATATATTTTATTCTGCATACATATACATACAATCTACCTTAAACTAGAATAAAGCATTTTGCCTACTGCTGTGCCAGGAAACAAAAAACCCCAGGTATTTATTTTTCCAAATTTGTTTCAAACCAAGCACTTTCTTTTCTGTTCTCCCTACTTCACCACAGTTCAATGCAACGCACACACTCAAAAAACAGACTAAAAAAGTAAATATCCCAAATGAGCCAATACACAACGAGCTTTTCTGTCTATAACACTGAATGAAAGCACCACTGTACTGTTTGGAAGTAGCACTTATTATTTTTAAGACTGTGGTATTACTTCTAACATTGTACTAAAATATTCTCAAGAAATACATTAACTTTTCACATTACAGAAATAAATTAAAACCAGCAGCCATCTTAGCCACCTATATTTGAGTTACCAAAGGGGAAAACAGATGACTGGAAAAGCATCAACAAATTGATTAATTTCTTAAATTAGGCTGAGACAAGTGATCTTTCATGAGAAATTATACCAATGTATTACTTTAAGTGATAATTTCAGTTAAATTTTGCAAATTGTTGGCAACTATAGTATTATTTTTTTTCAGTTAACTAATTTATTACTGAACTATCTAATGTAATGGAAAATATCCAGAATAATTAATAGCAAAA